TAAAAAAAATTATCTTCTAAAAAAAAGTATATATTAGAAATTTTAAAATAGTGCATGTTGTTACAGGTCAAACAAAGCATTTTTTTTTAATATATTGTTTTTACAGTTTCTTTTTAAATCAGTTAAAAGAAGTAGGGAAATATAGGCATATAGACTTCATTATTGAAAGCAAAATATTTTTATCTAGTGTACTTGATCTAGGCCTTGGTCTTCTCAGTTGCTTGTTATGCATGTGAGAGCTGGACAGTGAGTAAGGATGACAGCAGAAGAATCGATGTCTTTGAGTTGTGGTGCTGAAGGAGAGTATTGGACTGCCAAGAGAACAAACAGGTCTGTCCTGGAGACAGAGAAACCTTGGGAGCAAGAATTTTGAAGCTCCGTCTCACATATTTGAGCAAGTTTCCAGGAGGAACCAGTCCTTGGAGGAGGACATGGTTGGAAGGGTGGAGGGTCAGCACAGGAGAGGAAGACCCTGGATGAGATGGATTGACATAGTAACTGTAGCAGTAGGGTCAGATGTGTCTGAGACAGGTTGACTCTGGACAGGACAGGGTTCAGATCCATTGTCTTTAAGTTCACTGTGAGTCTTAAATAAGCGCAACAGCACATAACACCAATACAGGGAGCTGGGAAGGAGGTGTTGATGTATATCTTTTACACATAGTTACCTGAAGTAAGAATGTACATGTGTACATTGATAATGCTGGCTGGAGTCACTTGGTTTCAGCTCAGTCTGGGACTGTATTTTACCTTCATTTTTTTAAAATATTTGCTGGTTGAAGGTTGTTTTCTGTTTGTTTTGTTCCCCCCCCCCATCAGATTTAGATAATTGGCAGTTTTTACTCATTTAGTTAATATTTATATTTTCCTCTCCTGGTGTTCCTCTTAACCTGTTATGTTCAGTCCAAGACTTCTGTTTGGCTCTGGTTGTTGGTGCATATCTTTGAATATTAACAGGTCTTCCTTAACATTGTCACTCTTAACATTGTATTTCAGTATGGATCTGGATGTTTGTATATACAAAATATATATACATTGTTTCATTTTCCTTCATTCATAATGTGTTTCATACAATCATTCCCATACATGGTGTTTATAAAATTAATCCCCATTGAACTATGCACACCATTCACTGTTTCACAGCCACCCTAGGAACAAAAGGCCTGTAGCCCTTCTCCAACTATCGACATTTATCAAAGTTCATAGAGTTTCCAGAGCCATGTTATTTAGGAAGTGAATGCCACGCCTGCTTCCAAATCACTCCATTAGTGGTTGTCTTTTATATTATTAATGCAACTCCATTTTTCCTCACCTTTTCCTTTCTGGAGTAGTAGATCATACGATTGTCTGATTCAGAATTTCCCATGCCAGTCCATCTCAGCTCTTCAGTGCCTAGTATGTCAGTATTTATACGTTTGATTTCTTCCTTAACAATGTCCATTTTACCCTGGATGAGGTGGGTTGACAGTTAATGAGGTAATGGGGGCAGGTGTGTCAGGGTTCAGAGCTATCCCTAAAAGGTCACTGAGTTGCAGGCAGCCTGATGGCACATAACAACTGAGACTCTTTTCCTTCACTTTTTCTCCATTCTTCAGATTGCATAACCATCTTCAGATTTGCTTTTTTCCCCGAGTTCCGATCTACTCGGCTCCCTACAGTGAATTTTTCATTTGCTATTTTTCTTTTCCGCTCCAGGATGACTTTTTTTTGGCAGGGGTGGGGGGTGATTTAGGGAAAAATCACCTTATCACAATATTTTATCATGGTTTTCTTAATTTTTAAACTGTATCTAGAATGACTACTTTTAAATGTTTTTGTTTTCTGTTCTCAGTTTCTGTTGTCTTATCCCCTCATTTGCATGTCTTAAAAGTTACCTATTTCTGTGTCTTAAAATTTTGTTGGAAACAAGACCTTTTAAAAAATATAATGTGGCAGCTTTAGATCCTGACTTCATCTCTGTCAAGGCTTGTCTGTTTAATGACCACCTGCATCATTTATTGAACACTCTCTCTTTAGTAATTACCCATCTTATTTATTGAACTAACTTGCACATGCGCTCTCACTCTTGCTTGCTGTCACACATACATAGACACGGTGTGATTGATACCTCTGCTCTTGGTCCTTTGAAGTTGAAGCCTTGGCAGTGTCCACAATCTCCCTGGCATAACAGGGCTCTCTTTGTCCCTTTCTGTAATCCTACCCAGCTGGTGGTGGTGTGCTGCCATGTCGGTTCTGACTGATAGTGACCCTGTGCGACGAGAGGGCTCTCTGGAGGCCACGATGGCAAAGCTGCTGCTTTCATACTTTGGACATCTAGCTAGGCAAAGCTATTCCTTGGAAAGCTGGGGGTGTCAGTGAAGGAGAGGAAGCCCTCCAATGAGATCGATTAACACAGTGGCTTCTGTGGACTCTAGTCTATCAGAGATGATGAGGATGGCACAGGATAGGATATGGTTCAGGTTAGCTGTTGTTGATTTGTACTCGATGGCACTTAGCAACAACATGTACAATAGAAACTGTTGTGTGATTGTGTTGTTTTCATCAATGCCCTGTGACAGAAACTGCTCAACAGACAGATATAATTAAATGTTAATGCCTTTACAAGGGATAGTTTTTCAGGTCAGTATTTGATGTGGATCCCCCGAGGGTTCTTCTTGGCTGTTTAGTCATTTCTCTAAATGTCTTTTTACGCATTTCATTGTGAATTTCACCATACATACACTGCCCCACTACCACTCCTGCATTGCTTTAAGAGTACACTTGGTGTTGAACTTCTCTGAAAGTTGTAAACGCTGGGTTTTTTCCAAAGAGATTCTAAACTTTGTCTTACCTCTTGCCTGGACATTATCTCTTAAGACAGTGGTCGAGTATGTGGACATAGACACTGGGGGTCCTGTTTGTTTAGTGCCACTGCTGCTTTGGAACTAGATCCTAGATGCTCTGTGGAGGGTTGGCGACAGCCTCTGGTTATCTCAGTCACCTGTCGCACTGTGGGGCCTTTGCTTTAGGAACAGGCTAGGGTAGCACTAACTTAGGAAGAGCCTTTATGTCATGAGTAAGAGCTGGGCAGAAGGGGATCCCCCCTCAGCCACGCTCAGTCAGACCTTAAGTCTCTGTAATAGAGTGCTGGGGACAGGATGAGAAACTCTGATGCCTTTTTTCCCTCCCAGGAAGATACTGCAGCCTGTTAGCTGAGAGAGGAAGCCCCATGTTCTGGCTTTGCTCCTCCAGAGTGAAGTTTCCATCACATTAAGCTGGGGCAGTTCATATTTCAACTACTGTGACATTAACTGTTCTCATTAAGGCATTTTGTTTTTTAATTTTTTTTTATATTGGTTTTCTTACAAAGTTCGTATACATTGTGTTTCACACTGTTTCATACAATCATTCCCATTCATTATGTTTTACAAAATTAATCACCCTTACCACCATTACACTGTCTTTCCAGATCCCCACTTTTCTGAATTACCACCACCACTACTACTTATTATGTTCCTCTTCCAGGACACTTTCCAGAGACTATAAATTCTTCCTGACCCACCTTTTTTTATTCTGGTGAGAAGACAACAAACAGAACATCCATTAATCCATTTCACAGTTCAGTGGCGTTGATAATGTGTGTCATGTTGTACCACCACCATTTCCACCATATTTTCCAAGTTACTCTATCGCCATTAATATAAGCTCCAGAGTCAAAAGCTCAGCTATTGGCTGAAAGGTTGATAGTTCAAACCCACCCAAAGGTGTTTCAGGAGACACGCCTGACTGCTTGTAAAAGTCCACACACAGCCTTGAACACCCTATTGAACATGTCTTTATAAAGTCTTTTGCTAAGCCCCTGCTTTTCCAAGGGTGATGTCTTTCTCTAGGGACTGGGCCTTCCTTGAAAACATGCTCTAAATATTGTGAGATCAAATCTCACCAACCTTGCTTCTGAGGATTGTTCGAAGACATTTGTTTGTTCTTTTGGGAATCCATGGTATGTTCCATATTTTCACCTTTAGTCAGTTTCACTTGGTTTTTATTTCAGCTACAGTACAGCTGTGAATACACCTTTGTATCTTTAAGCACTTAGGTGGTGCAGGAAGATAAAGGGGTTCCATGCTTTCACCAAGGCCCAGGGCCTTGTTCAGAGAAAGCTGCATTCACTCCAGCAGTTGGGGTGAGAGCTCTGGGGGCCGGTGGCCGACGGTGGACGCTGAGCAGAGGGAGTGGGGTCTGCAGGCTGGGCCAGCAGCAGACCCTGCAGCCCACCTGCTCTGCTCACAGCTCATGATGGAGCAGTCCAAGAAGTCCTCGCTCATGGTGGCCCGGAACATCCTCAACAACAAGCTCATCGGCAAGAAGCTGGAGCGCTACCTGAAGGTGAGGCCCCGGGACCCCCCGGCCCGCCGCCCCCGTCCTGGCCCCGCCCCTCCCCCACTCACTGCCCCGCCCCGCAGGGTGAGAACCCCTTCACGGACAGCCCAGAGGAGGACAAGGAGCCCGAGGAAGGCGAAGCGGGCGCCCCCGATGAGGGGACACCGGGAGAGGCCGCTGCCTCCGAGGGGACCCCACAGCCGCCGCCCCCTCCAGAGCCCGAGGCCGTGGCGCCACCACCCCCGCCGCCCCCGGAGGAGGAGGAGGACGCCGTGCCGCTGCTGGGCGGGGCACTGCAGCGCCAGATCCGCGGGATCCCGGGCCTGGACGTGGAGGCGGACGACGAAGAGGAGGGGGGCGGGAGCGGCCCGTGACCGCGCGGCGGGGCGCAGCCGAGCCAATAAAGTGCTGACCTCTCCACGCTCTGCTGTCTGCTGTCTGCGGGCCGCCGACATGGGGGCGGGAGTGCGCATGCGCTGCGTGCCACTGCTGACGAGCCTTCGCACCAATCGCGAGGCGGCCTGGAGCTTGCGGAGGGCGGGTCCGCTCTCAAGGAAGCCAATGGTGGTCTCCGGGTGCGGTGACTAGGCGCCCGGCTGGCCAGTAGCGGGCGGTGGGTGGTGCGTTTCAGTGTTGCGGAGGCTTAGAAAAGGGGGCTGCCGGCAGGCCGCGGGGAAAACATGGAGCAAGGTTACGGAGGTAGGAGCTGTCGGGGCGGCGGGCGTGGGTGGTAGCGGGCCTCAGGTCGACCGGGGCCGCAATCGGGATCCTGGATGAGCGTGGGCCGGCGGCCCGGTCTGCAGCGTTGCGGGACGCGCGCCATTCTTTGAAGCGTGCTGCCGTCTCTCCCGGACTCGGGGTGCAGATTGGCCTGCGGGCAGGGACGGGTGGTCCCTCTGCACGCACAGCTCAGAGCTCGTGCAAAATGGCGCCGGGGGCGGGGTCTGCGCGGGGCGGACGCACGTGTCCTGGGGGTGAGCTGGGGTCGCCGGGAGCTCGGCTGGGAGGACCACCTCCCGGCACTGGTGCGACCCCCGCCGCCCTGGCTCCCAGGGCTAGAGGCCTGCCTTCCCGTCGAGCCCTTTCTTCCTCGTGATCCCGCCCCTGGGCTTCTCACTTCCCGATCCGGTCTCACGATCCGATTCGCGCGTGCGGCCTCCTGATCCCTCTGTGGGCTCCCACCCGTAGCTGCGCCCTTGCGGCACTGTCCAGATCCGGCGGGGGCCTGTTCTAGTGCTTAGACGAGCGGCCAGACCTTTCCGATTGTGTTAGCATTACTCCACCCCAGATGGGGCTGGATGCAATGTGCGGAGCCCGCGCGGCCGCATGGGGCACGGTGTTCGTGAAAGAACCAGGGCCCTGGACCAGCAGGCACCGTGTGGCCCAAAGGGTGTAACGTCTGCAGCTCTGTGACCTTGGGTCAAGTCCCCAGCCTCTGAAAGTCACTGGGTAACTGCTGCTGTCATCTACTGCACACAGTAGGTGCCGCAGGCTCTGAGAAGGGAGGGAGAAGTCAGGAGACTGCTCAGCTCCAGGTTGCCGTTGTGAGCACACAGTTCTCACCCTCTTGGGGGAGGACGACTAGAAAGGGGTCCTGGGATCTCAGGGAGGTTTCAGAACCTCAGAGCAAGAGTCTAGGGAGGCATACAAGCAATGCCTCCCGTTTTCCAAGTTTTCTCCCAGGTGGTGGTTTCAGGTGCATTGAGCGGGTTTCCCGTAGTGTGTTTGAGTTCTGATGCAGGACTGGCTGGCAGAGAGTCCTGTGTCGCTTTTGGGGTTATGTTTACAGGAAGTGAAATGACATCCTCACTCACCTAAGGTTCCTCAGCAGGCAAGGAACAAAGCTGACTTGTAAGCCCATCACCTGCCCCTTCTTCTTTGATCTCAGGCAATTCAAGTGTGATAATGACTTAGGGGGAAGGCAGTGTTTTCAAAATGAAATTGTACATCCTCTGCCTTGCTATCGCTGAGTGCCTGTTCCCAGAGTGACAGCTTGGACCTGAGCTGATGGTGCCCTCCTCCTTTTACAGGCTACGGGGCATGGAGTGCTGGACCTGCCAACCCCCAGGGTAAGTACCTCCCCTGGGTGGGAGAAGTTTGGGTCCCATACTTGAATAGTAGAGCCACTATAGTAGAAGCATCCTGGGGATGCTGCACCAGGACACAGATCAGAACCTGCTTCCAGCTCATAGCAGTCCTCTTGGACAAAGTAGAATTGTTCCAGCTTTCGAAGTCTGAAAGTCTTAAACAAAGTGAGCTGCCCCCCTTTTCTTCTTTGAGCAGTTTGGTGGATTTGAAATGCTGAGTTTTCTATTAGGAGCCAAATGCTTTAACCATTGTGGTACCAGGGCTCCTTTTTAAGGAGTAGCCCAGGAGTGAGCAAACATTTTTCACTAAGGGGTAAGAAAGTAAATGTGGTTGGTTTTGCAGGCCAGATGGTTTCTCAGGTGCAAAAACAGCTGTAGGCACTCCATAAACGGGTGGAGAGAGGTGTGTGTTGATAATGTCCTCAACATAGTTAAGCTAAAAACCAGCCACTGTCAACTCATGATAACTCACGTGGGGCAGAGGGCTTTCTGTACCAAGGAACACCAGGTCTTCCGAGGCAGCACCTCCACGTAGACTCAAATCTCTACCCTTTTCATTTAGCAGCCATACCTCTTAACCGTTGGTCCATCCAGGGAGTCCTGCTTATGTGTTGTGAAATATTTTTCAGTTTCTCCTAAACAAGTAAATGGTACTTAGTTTCTAGCCAGTAGATTTAGTACAGAAGAGCTTGCGACTTAGTGGTAAGGAGCTGCTCTGCCAATCCAAAGGCACAGAGTTCAAACCCACCACTTTCTCCATGGACGAAAGATGGGTGGTCTCCTGCAATTTACTGCCTCTGAAAACTCACTGGAGGGTCAGCTGTGGGCCACTTCCAACTCCATGGAACTAAATAACAACAATAGATTTAATAGATCTCTACACTTACCAGTTGGTTGAGGTACACAGACTTGTACAGCCACCACTAGTAAGGTTTTTGCTGCTAACATAAAGTGAGGCATTCTTCAGAAGACATGAACCAATACTGATACATTATTATTATTATTAATATTACTATTATCATCATCATCATCTACTGATAATTTGTATACTTTTTATTTTGTGTTGTAAAGTGCTGAGCTTTTGGGTATTTAGTTGTGGTAAATGTGTATAAATGACACATCAACCAAAAACCAAGCCCAAGGTCCCTTGGCAGGTGAGAGACAAAGCTTATGTAAGCCCTTTTTTTCCTGCTTTGATCTCGGCTAACTGAAGTATGATAATGACCTGACAGCATCATGTTGCTCGCAATGCATGGCAGCCTTACAGGACAGTGTAAAACTAGGTCCTGGGATCTCTACAACTGTGGATCTTTGTACACGGGAAGCTCCAATGGTGTGGTCTGAAGAGAGCTGTGCTCCTAACTCAGAAATTCTAGATTCTAATCCACCAGCAGTTCCACAAGAGACAGATGGACACTCTTCTCTCCTGGGATGTATACAGCTTCTAGAGAGACTGCTGGAGGGTCAGCAGTGAGTCACTTCCCAGTGGGCAGCAATGAATTGGGTTGTTCTCTCTACAGAAGTAACTGCCTTCTGTTTCTCTTATGAACTGAAGGGTTTGATCCACTGATCTTTTAGTTAGCAGCCTTACCCACAACCACCACCTCTCTCTCTTAAAGAAAACAGAAATTCCTACATCTGAACAAGTAAACAAGAATCACTCGAGGGACTGTAATAACACACCTGACCCAAGCCATGGTATTTTTTTTTTAAATCACTTTGTATGTGAAAATTTGACAGTAAAGAATGAAGACCAGAGAATTGGTCCCTTTGTATTGGTGAAGACGTTGTACCATAGACTACCAGAAAAATAAGCAACTCCGTCTTTTGAAAAAGGTGATAGACAATCTCATTGTCATTGTGTTGGTACCAACTCTCTGTCTCTCCAGGGGGTTTTAGAAAGCTGTAAATAGCATGGGAGGAGATATGCCCATTTTTCTTCCACCGAGAAGCTGGTGGAAACAAACCACCAGAGAGGAGCCACTTTTAGGGGAGCAGTGTTGTAACTCTACCCACTTTGTTGTCGATAATGCCATCGAGCATGACTCGTAGAGACATGAACAGCAGATCCAAACCCTGTTCCATCCTCATCATCTGTGACAGACTTGAACCCATTGCTGCAGTCACTGTATCAGTCCGTCTCATACAGGGTCTTCCTCTCTGGCTGACCCTGCACCTTCCCAAGCATGATTGCTGTCTCCAAAGAATAGCCTCTCTTAGGAACATGCCCAAAGCGTGTGAGATGAAGAGCACTCCATGCACTAGGCCACCGGTAACTCGCTCAGTCACTGTCAGATTCAACTCCTGCAGGATGTAAATTGCATGACAAGAGGTTGCCCATCCTTCTCCCAAGGAGTAGCTGGTAGGTTGTAACCGCTTGCCTCCGGGTTGGCAGTGCAGCTCCCCAGCTCCCCACCCACTTTGTTGTTAGGTGCCGTCTCCATCACTGTGCAGCACATGGTAAGAGGTCAGCAAAAAGAGGCCAAAGGATGGATTGATAATGTGTCTGCACAATGGACACGGCCAGGCTGTTTCATTCTTTTGTACCCAGGATTGTCAAAGATTGGTACCCACTCTCCGAGAACTAACGTATACATAATGTTGTTCCACAGTCTTCTCTTATCTGGTTCTGTGTCTTAGTTATATTTACATCATTTGGTCCTTGTTATCTGTAAATTTCCCCATCCTTAGAAGCTGGGTCTCCAAAACAGTGATCCCCTTTACACATCCCTCCTGCCCCAGTAACAACTGGTCAGTTCTGAGCTTGGTCTTTGGGGGTTTTTTTGTTTTGATTTGAAAGTTCCTGAGTTTTGATAAATGGCAAGGATTGTGTGCCGTGTTTTGTGGAACCTTTCCCTGTATTTTTTCACCAACCATTTAAAAAATGTACAAATTGTTTTTGGTTCTCTGCCTGTGGGTCTAGTTCTCAATCCATTCTGGCAGGACCGGAAATGTTCTCTGAAGTTTTGGATTCTGGTGGAGAGAATGCCTCTTCTCTGCTTTCTGAGCCTGGGGACTTGCCCCAGGGGTCATGACGGCACCGTAGCTCACTTGCTCCTCATGGTTGAGAAGGCAGCTCACCTGGTTGTGTCAAGTCTGATTTCTTGTGCGTGAATGCACTCAATGCCATGGGCACAACTCTGGCCACTAACTCAGCAGGGGAGTCTAGCTCTCAGCTGACTGGTCTCTGTCAAGTAGGCTTGTGGAAAGTCCAGTGATGTTTTTGTTTCTCTTGTGGGGCAAATGAAGTTCTGGTGGCCTCGTGGTTAAGGAGCCAGGCTGCCAGCCACTCTGCAGGAAAAAGACGGGCAATCTCCTCTGAAATTTTCAGCCTTTGAAAGCCCTCTGGAGTGTCAGCAATGAGCTGATTGCAGCTTGACAGTACATAATAAGGACGACATGTGGGAAACTTAGTGAGAAGGCTTAGCTCTGGGAATTCTGTGGGAAATGAATGGGCTCAGGGCCGCAGGCTGAGGTTAGCGGCCACCCTGAGAGTCTCCGACAGGAAGCAAGCCACTTGCACCTTAGGATATTACCCACCTGTAGGTGATGAAGCCACTTTGACTGCCCTTTGCTGCTCCAGTCAGGAGTCAGTAAAGCTCATAGGTGTTTCTGCTTCCTCCAAGGTACCTACGGAACTGGCGTCACCAGCTGGCAAGGTAGGTCCTGTTGGGGTTTGGGAGAGACAGCAGATGGACCTTCTGAACAGCCCTGTGGTCTGGGATAGATGGGTGGGTGTTCAGATCAGCCTCTACGTGACAGATACTTCTGGGTGCTGGAACTGACCAGCCAGTTAGGACGCGGGGGTGGGGCGAGACTGAGCTTTCAGGAGGCTGGAAGTAGGTGGATCTCTGCTGGGTCTTGGCCCTGGCCATGTATGGGTTCGGATGGTGCCACGGTCCCCAGGGTTTGGTGCAGAGAGCAGTCACCACCAGTGTTGCCTGGGGGCTACCAGCAGAGCACCAGCTCACCGCACCATCCTTGGCTGCTGCCGCGTGATGCAGCCTCTTCTCCCCTGCCAGGTTATGACAACTATAATTATTACGGATCCCAGAACTCCAGTGTGAGCACAGGAGCGACGTACAACTATGGCCCGGCTTCGTGGGAGCTCGCCAAGACTAGCGATGGCAGCCTGGCAGCTGGTGGCCCCACCATGCATATGGCTTCCTATGGCCCAGGCCCTGGTCCAGGCCCAGACCCCGGCCCTGACAACTCGGACTCCCTCATTGCCAAAATCAACCAGCGCCTGGATATGCTGTCCAAGGAAGGGAGCAGGGCAATCGGTGTCACTGGAGAGGGCACACAGGACCGGGAGAGGTAATTGTGTCCCACCTCCCTCCCACCCTGCTTCTGTCTAGAGAAATGAGTGGGCCTGGTGGGATCCAGAATGGTGGTGTCCTGCCCAGGTAGTGGCTTGGAGCTTGTCTGCTGGCTGACCTGCCCTGACTCCTTGGTTCTGCATCCACCCAGGCCCCTCAGTGACCTGGGTGGGGACTCAGGCTGGACTGTCTTCTGAGCATGCTGGTAGAAGTGAAGAGTGGGTTGTGGTTTTGCAGATATGGAGGCTGCATTGCAGGGAGCTACGGGCACAGAGTAGATGTCCTAGGCCAGGTGGGGGTCCCAGATGGGCCGTCCTGGGACTCCCCCAGACCCTGAGCTGTCCTGTTTGCCCCACAGCTCCTTCCGCTTCCAGCCCTTCGAGTCCTACGACTCTAGGGCTTGCCTGCCTGACCACAACCCCTACCAATCTGGCTATGGCTACGACTACAACATGGGCACTGACCGCAACGGTGGCTTCAGCAGCCAGTACAGCGACCCCCGGGACCTCGGCCGCGATCGAGGGGGCCTGGACAGCTTTGTGCGGGGCCGGGGCCAGGGCCGCTTCCAGGACCGGGGCAACCCTGGCACCTTCGTGCGCAATGACCCCTTCTTGCCGCCACCGCCTCCAGCCTCAGAGCCCCTGTCCGCTCCTTGGGGCGAGCTGAACTATGGGACTGGGCGGAGCTTAGGTGGCCCCTCTCCCAACAGGCCACCTCCGCCTCCACCTCCACCACCACCACCCCCCCTCTTCTCCCAGCCCCTGGCCCCCGACTTTAGCATGATGGGCATGCAGGGGGCAGGCAGCTTCAACAGCTCCATGCCCTATGGCTGTGGCCGTGCACAGGCCCGGATCAGGGACCGGGTAAGCTCTCTTTGTGTCCCAGCTCAGCTCTGTGGAGGTGAAGGTGCAAACAGTCATTTGATCATTAACCTAAAAGTTGACAGTTCAAACCCACCCAGAGATGCCTTGGTGAAAAGGCCTGGCTTTGAAAACTGTTAAAGCACCCTTAGCCTGGCCACCAGTGGGATCGTCTCGGGTCAGGATTGGCTGAACAGCACCTGGTTTGGGGTTTTGGGCTTTTTTTTAATTGGTAAAATTGGTAGACCACATAATTGACTAGTTTTAAGTGTATGAATTAGTAATTTTCTGTTCAATTCACAATCATTAAGATATTTCCTTTGAAACTCATTGCCCATCACAGGCGGTCACCAGGCCCTTTCCAGGTCCTAGGCAGCCGCGCTCTACCTGATGTTTCACCTCTCTTCTAGGCACTTTGTATTAACAGAATCACGTCCTGTGAGACCTCCAGGGCCTGTCTTTGTCTTGGCAGAGGTCTCTGTGTTTCTGCCACACTGCCTTCTCTTAGTTGCACATCCCTCCCCCCTTGGTGTAATTGGATGCATGGGTTTATGTTTCAGCCCCGGTGGCGAGGGTTTGAACGCTGTGGCCCTGATGGCCCAGGCCGGAAGAGGCGGCTGCTGCAAGCTTACGAGGAGCCAGATGTCAAGCAGCCCCGGGTGGACAGTGAGGGAGACTTTTCTGACAACGGTATGCTCAGGAGCTGAATGGGTGTGCTGGCCTAAGTCGCCTGCCCTGGCTCTGTGTGATGGACGTCCCCTCGGCCCCTGCTGGAGTCAGCATGTATGCTGCCCCTCCCAGCGGAGTTCGAAAGATGGGAGCCACACCATGTGGCTGCAGGGAATGGACCGTCAGCAGGGCTGAGGCTTTCTATCCTTTATGTCCTATAGATGATGGAGCCGGTGACTTCCGGTCAGGAGATGAAGAAGTCAAGGCTGTAAGTTGGCTTCTCGTCTCCCGTGCCGGGTCTCCTGAATATGTCTGATTGTTGACTTTGCGTCGTTACTATGTGGGATTTCGTAGCTGATGCCTTATGGGTGGGCAGAACTGGTCAGATTGGACATGCCAGGAGGGTTCTTTAGATGTATTTCTGAGAGCAGGTCAGGGACCTCAGGCAGTCATTTGTCACCACAGAGTGGTGGCAGTGAAAGAACATACGTGATCCCTGAGACCCTAAGGGACTTCTAGTTCTGTATTTCTGTAGGCCTCAGCAGGAAGTAGGGAACTGGACTGGGTGTGGGCTGTGGGCTGTTGGATGAGGCACCGCCCCTCACTATCTGGGTTTGTGTGCCCTTTCCAGGAGGATGAGTTTGGCGAGCTCGGGAGTCAGAGAGGTAGGAATCCGTCCTGGACTGCTTTGGACTACCTGTCTGCCCCCTGCCCAGGATCTACCTCCCAGCTCACCTGGGTACCGGTTCTGCCCTGCCCTGGCTCTGCACCAGCTGGAGCTGGTCCATCAGCCCGTTCATTGAGTGCACTGATGGCAACAGAACCACATGATGCCACGAAGAGATCACCCTGTGCTGTCTGTCCCAGTCAGCCAGTGCAGGCCCCCAGTGGTCTCCCCCACACTCCTGGCTACTGACCACAGTAGAGCAGGGCAAGCATAGACCTTTGTAAACAGTAGTGCTGTGGCTGGAAGACCCAGCAGAGAACTGGCACCTGCATCACAAACCACTGTGCACCCAAAGGCGTGAGCCAGCATGGGGACCCCTGCCCAGGTTGGGGACCAGGGAGGAATCCAAGGACCCTTAGAATGTGGTATTTGCTGTGCCCAGGCCTGAGTCCTCCAATATGGTCACAACTAAGGAAGGTCTTGGGATCTAGAGTCTCCAAGCCGAACCCTCCTCAAGCTCCCAGGCTCCATGCAGGAGCAGCCAGAGGCCCACTAGATCAATACACCCAGCAACCACTTGGTTTCCCTTCCTGTTCCCACAGGCCCCCAAGACTCAGCTGCCTCCCACTAGGCTCTGCTCCCCAGTTTTTCCCAGGGTCCCCCCTAAAGACCTTCCTCCTCTCGTGTCCAGGCTTAGCCAACCCCGACCTGCCCCTCGTCTCCACCTCCCCACCCTGCTCACTGCCATGACCAGGCCTGAGGCTCAGGTCCGTGAAGGGCACTTAGCACTGTGCACGCTGCGAGTGCTAAAGCAAAGGTGACATGTCTGTTGCGTGCAGGTCCTACTGCCTACGGGACGCCCTTGCTCTTAAGCAGCAGTCCTAGTTCAGGCAGCGGTCTCTTGCCAAAAGCCCCCACGCCCAGTGAATGCCTCCCGAGAGTGCACGCCGGTCGCCATCGTCGTGGGACAGGCTCAAGGCGGGCACAGGGGTAGGGGCCACAGTTCAGATGCTTCTCGGTCCTTTCCGCAGAGTCCGGCTCTGGCCAGGCCCCCTGGACACCCCGGGCATGGACGGGAGGACCTATCGGTCTTTTCCCACTCTCGTTTCCAGGAATGCTTCCCGCCAGGCCTGGGCAAGGCCCAGACTGGCGGTGTCTGTGCACGGAGGGTAGAGCCGGGCCAGCACGGACTCAGACCTGCTGCGGCCCTAGTTGAGAGCAAGGCCGGCGGGCCGGCTGCCAGGCCCACCTGGAGGCGGCGAGCGGCTTGCCTTCCTCCCAGCCGATGCTGCCGCCTCATCAGGAGAGGGCTGCGGCGCTCTCCTAAGTGACGGTGGGCCAAGACCCACGATGGAGCCTTAGACTGAGAGAGGACGGGGCAGGTCAGGGATCAGCAGAGGGCTGCGGGATGGGCAGGGCTGTGTCCCCTGGCCCAGCCAAGGGGGTTGTGAGGTGACTCCCAGATGCTCCTGCCAGTCTCCACCCAGGTGCGCCCAGTTGGGGGCGGCGAGCCTGTGGGATCGTGGAGGCCAAGTGGCAGCCTCACTGAGGCCCAGTGCTCAACTCTGTGGGCTCCGCAGGCATCTCCAAGGGACTTGTTCTCTATTCCAGGTGAGAAGGAAGATGAGGATGAGGAGGTGAAAAAGCGGAGGGAGAAGCAGAGGAGGAGGGACCGGATGCGAGACCGGGCTGCTGACAGGTGAGCGGATTCCTGGAGTCTTTGCACAGAAGGTAATCTGAGAGGCTTTGGGACCCTCTCCTGGGTCTCCAGCGACTCAGCAAGGCTTCTGAAACCCTGGTTGGCAGAGCACCTGTCATCACCCTGATTGTCCTCTTAGCAGCCCTTTGCACCAAAGAGAGACTGGCCATGTCCCTCAGTGTTCGTCGACTGAGCACCTGAGAGGTTTCCGCTCCTTTCTCAGGCACCAGGGTAGTGGTGGGAAGTCTTCATAGAGAGGCTGCTGTCCGCTCCAGTCCCGATCAGGAGTGGTGGCCAGTGGCCCTCCCCCACCACGCTCCTGATCTTCCTCCTGCAGGATCCAGTTTGCCTGTTCTGTGTGCAAGTTCCGCAGCTTCGACGACGAGGAGATCCAGAAGCACCTGCAGAGCAAATTTCACAAGGAGACGTTACGCTTCATCAGCACCAAGCTGCCTGACAAGACGGTTGAGTTCCTCCAGGTGAGCACTGGGGGATGGGAGTGGGTATAGAGCTGGCAAAGTTAACTTTCTCTAGGAAAAAACCAGGCCAAAAACGTAGCTGCCAGGCCACCACCCAGGGGACACTTCCTTTGCCCGAAGCAGCCACATCAAACTTGCCCACATGACAGAGAACAAGGCAGGGTCTCCAGCCATCCTGGACTCCCCCTCCTCTGCTAATCAGTTGGCGTCTGGTGTGACTGAGAGTCTACGGCACCATGCCCCCTCATTTTGTGGTGCTTCTCCCCCCACCCCCCAGGAGTACATCGTGAACAGGAACAAGAAGATAGAGAAGCGGCGTCAGGAGATGATGGAGAAGGAAAGTGCGAAACCCAAACTGGATCCTTTCAAAGGTGGGTGCTGGTGAGCGTGGCGGCACCATTCTTAAAGGACACATACACCTGGGTGGTGAGAGAGTGCCTGCCTGGGCACGCTGGTCACTGGTCACCCACTCAGGGAAAGGAAAGACGGGCACAGAACAGTCAGGGCTCAGCATCCCTCGTACGAGGGCTGCTTCAACCCCCTGCACCCTGCAGATAGCTGACTGAGCCCAACTTGGTTTTACCTCTTTTTACCCAAGTCGATGGAAGGGCTGATGGGGAAATGGGTGTTTTCATGTGGTGCTGTGCTGTCACCTCCGTGCCCCGTGCCCCCTGCAGGGATCGGCCAGGAGCATTTCTTTAAGCGGATCGAGGCTGCCCACTGCCTGGCCTGTGACATGCTCATCCCTGCGCAGCACCAACTCTTGCAACGGCACCTCCACTCCCCAGATCACAACCACAATCGTCGGGTGAGTGCCTCCATAGGATGGTGGGGGTGCCTCTCAAACCTTGTGGGCTAGTGAGGGTGAACATGCCATCTCTGGGAACTCTTGCCGTGTTTCATCAGTTGTAAGAAGCCTCTCAATTCCAAAGCTGTTAAAACTGAGAAAGTGTGGGGCCTAGAACGGGTCCAGTGCAGTGGTTGAGATGCCCCAAGTGTGAGGCTGTGCCCTGCAGACTTCCGGGGGAAATGGCACGTCGCAGTCCTGCCCTTGGGGCTTTCTAAAAAGCCCACCTCTGGTTCTCTGCAGTTGGCTGCTGAACAGTTCAAGAAGACCAGTCTCCACGTGGCCAAGAGTGTTCTGAACAACCGCCACATAGTGAAGATGCTGGAAAAATACCTCAAGGTTCGTGTTTGGGAGACGATGGGGTAGTGGGGTGAGCTGTACACAAATACGGTGTGCCCGTGGTGGAGCATATGGTACTTGCTCTGTGTCTTACGAGTAATCAGGGGTCTGGAAAAGTAGCAGTTTGCTCTTGCCCAGGGAAGGAGAATGTCCTAGGACACGCAGAGATGTCACAGAGAGAAGGGAAAACACCACACCTGTGTACTGCCTCTCCGTAGAAGTCACAGAGCTAGGTGATGCCTGTCTTCCAAGAAGGATGCTGCTGAAAGGGGAGCTTGCTGGTAGGGTCAGGGCTGTGAAGCAGAGGCACACATGACCAGGAACCACTAGGATATCAAGAAGGGAACAAGCAGAGATCTGAGGTGCCAGAGTGAGAATGTGGTCAGGCGCGCCTGCCCCTCCTGGCAAGGCCCATTTTTTTTCTTTTTTTTATTTTTATGTGTACCGTCAAATCAGATCTGACTGGTACAGGAAGAGATTGCCCCCTCCTTCTCCAGCAGAGCATCTGATGGATTTGAACCACCTACCTCTGGGATTGCAGTGCAGTGTCTTGCCACTGGGCCACCAGAGCTCCCTCTACTTCACTTTTTAGAGCTCAACTTTAGGACCTCTTTTACCCTTGTCCTCTCAGCTCGTAAATGCTACCCCGTCGGGTAATTCACGCTGCTGCCCTTGCTCATTTTGGGTCCTTGTGTGTCAGAACTGTGCTCTGTAGCTAATGGCTGGGTTACGAGAGGTAGAGTACCGGGCCTTTCTTCTGAGGCTCCTGTGAATGGGCTTGAGCCGCCAACCTTTAGGTTACCAAATGAGTGCGTCCCTGCAAACCCCATTTATCATGAAACCCTTTATTTTATTATTTTTGTGTGTGTGTGTACCGTCAAATCAGATCTGACTAGTACAGGAGGAGATTGTCCCTCCTTGCCCGGCAGAGCATCTGGTGGATTCGAACCCTTCGCCTCTGGGATTGTAGTTGCAGCTCCTTGCCACTAGGCCACCAGAGCTCCCCTAAACAATGTTATCTTTATTTTCTTGCCATGTTAACAATCTGTTTGTTTTTGTTGAGCATCTTCATATTGGGACAGTCTGTATTTTTGTCATGTTCAAGTCCGTGACAATGATCCTGTACTTGGAGTTGTACAGCCGTTTCACTTTACACCTCCTTCTTCTCTGCACAAATAGTACAGGAGAAGCCCCTCCACATGCAGCATCCTCCCTGGGTCTGCCAGCTCTGGTGGCCTGTGGGGTTAGCAAAGCTGGTGGAGCCTGAAGGCTTTTGCTTTGTCCCTCAGAGAAACACAGCCCCCACCTCCTTTTTTGACCAGGGTGAAGACCCTTTTACCAACGAAGCTATTGACCCAGAAGCCGAAGGGGAGGACAATTTAGGAGGTGAAGATAAAGAGTCCCCTGACGAGGTGGCCGCAGAAGTCCTAGCTGAGGTGATCACAGCAGCGGTAAAGGCTGTGGATGGGAATGGAGTCCCAGCTCCAGAGAGCAGTGAGGTGCTGACCACAGAGGAAGGCCTCCCAAACACAGCGGAAGCCAGTGAAAACCCCTCTGAGCAGCCACCAGCCAGTGGGACATCTGATGGAATCGAGAAGGGGAGCCCTGATGCAGAAGCTGGAAATGACCCTGGGGAGGCTGGAAGCAGGTCTTCAGAAGCCACAGATGAAGCTGCCACGGCCCCAATAGTGGGAGCATTTGCAGCCGAGGGAGAGAGCACTAGAGCAGGCCTCATTCCAGGGCTCGACATCGCAGACGGAGAAATGGAAGCTCTTGAGGCGGAGTCCAAAGATGCTCTTCCCACATAATGACCCTCGTTCCGCCCCCATCCCGAGACGCTCACACATGGTCCCTTTTCTTGTATGCCATCCTGTAGGGCATGAGTGACTGTGAACTGACTTTGGTCGCCCCACTCTTTCCTTCCAGAATGTGCACCTTTTAGGCTGACCCAGGCAGTCCTGGGAAGGGGCACTGCCAAGGTCCCGCATGCCCACAGGGAGCTTGGCAGTGCCCACAGCTGCCTGAGAGCAATAATCTTGGTGGTCTTTGGGTTAGGAAGTCCAGGCACTGGCTGAGTGTCCCCTTTTTATTCCCACCCCAATTTTTATCTGGGAGCAGCCCCACACTGGGA